GAGCCCTGGGAGCCAGCACAGCCCCAGGGGGTCCCACAGCCCCAGGGAGCAGCACGGAGCTCTGCTCAGCCCTGGCTGTGTCCCTGCAACAGCAGCGCCTCATCCTGAAGGAGTTAACGCTTCACCAGCACCTGTCCTACACCTGAGTTATTAATTTTCTTATAATCTGCCTTTGGGCACCCCACGGCCCCTGTGACTCTGCCACATTAAAGAAACACGTGCTCCCTCACTGGCTGCGCCGCTTTGATGTCCAACACCCGAAACACCCTCCCAGGGAGGAATTTGTACAGAAATTCCCCAGAGGATTGAGATATTGGAGATATGTGTGTGTGGGGAGAGCCCTGGCTGATAATCCTGTTACAGCCCCGGGCCCCTCATCCAGCCTAGGGAGCAGGGAGGGGAGCAGGGCAGCTCCCAGGGAACATTCCCCTGCTGCAGGTCACTGTGTGTGGGATGTGCCAGGAGCATCCCGAGCTATCCTCGGAGACCAGAGACTGACACGTGCACAATCCTGGACTCTATCCACTCATTGGCATAAGAATAAACTGTTTAATTTGCCAAAACCTCCCAGCACTGGCTCTAGTGACATGGGCTGTGCACTTCCCCTCCCGGTGCAGCAGCCTCAGGGGCTGCCTGCAGGGATGCTGCCCACACAGGAAGGGAGACTCCCGAGACTCCAGAGGCACCACTACCCAGGCCCAGCAGCAGGTCCCTTCCCCATCCATCCCAGCTGCCCAGCCAGCGAGGTGCTGGAGGGCTGCACAGGCCAAACTTCTCCAGCAAAGGTGGAGCAGAGGCAGCTGCAGCACTGGAGTGAGCACCTGGCCTGAGCACCCTGCCTATTGCAGGAGGGGCTGTGCCCTGCCATGCCATCCTGTGCCATGCCATGCCATCCTGTGCCCTGCCATGCCATCCTGTGCCATCCTGTGCCCTGCCATGCCGCATGCAGCTGACAGCCACACCTCTTGACTGGCTGCTGTGCTCAGCAGGACTGCAAACAGCATCAGTAGATGAAAGCTCAAGCAAAGCTACTTGGAGGTTTAGCAAAACTGGGTCAAGCGTGCAAGAAACTGAGGTGGGAGGAAGATAAAAAGCTCTCCCTGACTGAGTGACATTGCACCACACATCTAGGACAGAGGGACACTGGGCTGAGAGCTGCCCAGCTGGTGCTTCATGGTGAAGGCCACTGGGAGGGCTCATGGGCAAACAGGAATCCCCTGCACTGCTGCCCCAGCCCCTCTGCTGAGCAGCCCAGGCCACAGCATAATGGGGTGTGGGGACTAGACCCCAGCAGGGCCCCTGCAATGCCGGGCAGGACGGACTCGCTGCATCCTCCCAGTCTGCACAGTTGCAAAGATCACACCTCATCCCACATCCACAGTGAGGAAACACTGTCACAAGGGACCATGGCTCAGGCAACAGCTGGCCTGTCCCTCTGCCCATGTCCCCACATCCCTACTGCCACCACCCCACACTAAGGCAGCATCAGATTTAATGACAGATCAGCTGCCCTTAATAAATGTTTACGTTCAAAGAATTTGCACCGGTGCTCACAGACAGCTAATGAGGGACATTTCAATGCATAAAAGCAATGTGAATACAGTAATTAACTTTGTTGCCAATTCATTTTTAATCATTTAAATACTCTAGGGATTTGCAGTGTCCTTTAAGTCAACAAAATATTTTCCAAAGGGCACACTGCTGACCCCCCTCACACACACCATCCGACCGGTAACTCCATCTTCCCCAATAATCATCCAGCACTGAATGAGGATGCCACAAAGTCCAAGGCCAGCATGGCCAGGAAGCAGCAGGAGGTGATGGCTTCCCAGCATGATTGCCATGGAGTCCAGCTCACCAGCCCTGTGACTACTGCTGGGTCAGGGCAGGCTGCCCAGCAGCGAGCACACCACCCCAGCACAGCAGGAGCCCACCCATGGCTCACGGAGAATGGCTGAGGTCTCACCACCTCCCAACTCCACAGCAACTCCTTCTATAGATGAAACTTTAAAAATAAATATTAATTAAAAAAATTCACCAAATACACCCAGAAGCTACAGTGATATCCTAATTAACAGCTGGTGCCAGAGTTATGTTGTCCACTTGGTGATGCTCAGTGCAAAGGGTTGGGGGAATGTCCAGCACCAAGGACAAGCCACACTGACCCAGCAGCAGGTCCCACAGATGCCACACTACACAAAAGACAGCTCCAGCCATGTCTGACATGCCTGCTGCCTGGAAAGCACCCAGGACATGCACGCAGTGCCAGGGATCCAGGGCTGCAGATTCTCATCTCCAGCTGCAAAGGCCAGGTGCTGCCAAAGGGTCCCAGGCACTGCCCACCCCAGTGGCCTGCTCTGGTCCCTGCTCCCAGCCATGGCACCAGGTAGCCCCAGCCTCCCCAGAGCACATGCTGCATGGCAGATACCACAGATCACACCTTGATGGACACCCAGGGTCACAAGGGACCAGTGTCCTTCGCTTGTCAGCTTCACAAAGCACCAGTGCCCATGGCCACGCCAGGGCATGAACTGGATTTCATGTTACCAAAGGGAAGGTTAGAACAAATTGCTGCGTTTACAAACAAGGTCATGGAAGACAGCACAAGAACACACATCATTAATATTGAAGGCTTGGTGCCCTGTGTGGATTTACCTCCCTGCATTTCTCCCAGCATCTTGGCAGGGAAAGCCCTGCCAGGGCCTGAGTGAGGGCGTCTGCAGCACGCGGGCTCACCCCAAGGAGGGCAAGGCAGGGACCAGGGAACACAGCTCACCCAAAAGGCTCTGCCAGAGGTTTTCTGCCCATTCCTAAGAGCCAGGGTACTCTCTGAAGTCAAGGAAATTTCAAAGCATCCTTGAAGCTCGCTGCCTTCCTCTCTTCTTACTAATTAACTTCAGCAAAACGCGCTGTCAGTCAAGCCCACAAAACAGTCTGCGTCGTTGGGCAAAGCCTAATGGGCTGGCACTTGTGTGAGAGCCAACCCGGCCATTAGCAGGGAGCAATTAGCAAGGCGGTGAGCAG